CAAATACAAGAGCACAATGACATTATTTGAAAGAGCAAATTCTCAGCTACAAAACACTATTTTCCAATTTTGTCACCACCATTAGCTATGCATTTTCACCAGCTATGAACAGAGCTTGCATGATGCACTCAGAAAAATCTGCACCAGAGGAGGTAACCCACAGTTGTGTTGCCACTGCTGAAATGCACCACCCACCATCTCACCATGCTCACATCCACTGTTTGGTTTCTCTAAACATTCAGCAAGTGTTAATGGATGTCACTGGGTGCCATTTTTTCCAGAAAGAGGAATTCAGTTCCACACCTTTCGGTCATCCACACTTCCATATCAGGCACAATTTGTCAGATTGCCCTTCTACTGCCATCTGTCACATGGCAACAAAATATAATGGAATACTTGTGGAAAGATTCAACCTATACTTCCATACCAACAACAACTAACTACCTCTGGCATCTTGGCCAATATAATAAAATAAGAGGCATTATTTTCAGAGCGGCCCTCATGTAATTGAAAATGCTTTCAATAAGATTGATTAATCAAACCCTTTTTGTTCCACCTCATCTTCATACTTGATATACTTTTTATTATGTGACCACTCAGTCTTTGCAGAGGAGTACCCATAACTCAGTTGGAGATCACTCAGTACATTTGCAATAGAACTAAAAACAATAAATCAGAAGCTTCTCCATTGCAGCTCTTGGTTGGGGCTTCTCTATCAGCACTGATCAGGGATCTCTTCTCTTCAGATATTCACAGCCACTGAAATGAATCATCTGTATCATCACCACAAAGTGATGCACATTGGTCTGCATCTTTCTATGACAAGGAGAAGAAAATGGCTAAGAAATTGTAACTGTTTCAGTGAAGAAAAGAGGCAGTAGCTATTCTGCTATTCATTGACATGGCTCATCTAAATTGTCTCAGATCTGGAAGTAGATGAGGGTGGAAGTAAGGTCAGCAGAAGAATTTAAAGTGGAACTTGCAATCACCAAATGCAGAAACTCGCAGCAAATCTTTCCCTGTCTCAGTTTTTGTGCTAAACTTATAAGAGTGTTATATTAGTGTGACAAAAGTCAGAGAGCACTGGCTCTAAATACTCACTTGGTCTCTGAGGAATTTGTGAATTCATGAAGAGGATGGTGGAGGGAGAGGCAGTAGAAGGATTTAATACTGCGCAGGAAGAGAGAGAAAGAGAAGGAATAAAATAAAACGTGGAGCAGGAAAATCAGATCACCATGACAAATACAAATGAGTTCAGAAAGAGTTTCTGAGTAGAGTTTGCAAGAACGGTAACAAAGTTTAATATGCTGTGGGAACAAGATAATGAGATCAGGGAGTCAGTGCTAATCTGACCACTATAGAGGTATGGTTCTGATATGCATACAAAGCCCTTTCTCACAACACAGCAGCTCAGGCCTGAGTCTGTTTGAATCTCCTAACCTAATCCATGTTATCCTGGGAACAGCTGGTTAGGAAAACCCAGCTGCCTTCCGTGATGTTACCTGTGATTCTGTAAGTAGGTCAGTGCTCAGTCAATAATACATTATTCAGTAGCCTGAGGATTGCTTAAGTTAGGCATTTCTGTTCGTGTGGTGATGGGCTGAATCTGAAGTCTTCCTGCCAAGGTCTCTGGTAGGAATCTGCACTTGGCCTGAAAGCTAAGAGAGATAAGTATGATGATTATAAGCGTAACAGCACCAAAACTAGGTGCCACAGATAGATAGTCCATGGCTCATGGAATGTTTTAGATGTAATCCGTCTGCGTATGTATAGGTACTTTGCACTCTGGGGCTATGAAAGGGCATATAAAAGATATAAAAATGAATCGTCATCATTATGGGCTGGATTTCTGCCAGCTGCTTAGTAATTAGAAATTTAATTGCCCAGTGATAAAAGTTTTAATTACTCGGCAATTAGTACTCAAAGTTTCAAGTGCTTCGCAAACACTCGCTTGCATTCCTCAACTGCCAATAATGAAGGATGAAATAGCTCTAGGATGTCTCAGCAGAGCTCTCAGCAAGAGGGATGAACAGCAATGATAGAACAGCAGCAAAATATCTGGATAGCCCTGCTTGTCAGTGACTAGCCAGTTTGGCTGGGTCAGGGGTGGTGAGGCACTGTAATAGGTTGCTCAGAGAGATAGTGGGTGCCTCATCTCTGGAGACACTCAAGGTCAGGCTGGATCGGGCTCCAAGTACCTTGATCTAGCTGTGGGTGTCCCTGTTCATTGCAGGGGAGTTGGACAAGATGGCCTTTGAGGGTCCCTTCCGACTCAAACAATTCTATGATTCTATGAAACCCAAACTGTTGGATAGCTGAATTCTCTTCTCCAAGAGCAGGAAGGCCATAGGGAGGATGCTAGGGAGGAGGTTGCTACCAACACAGGGCATACTAATTGCCAGGCGAAGAACTGCCCTAGGTGATGCCTGTCCTTTTGATCACTTCCTACCTCCCATGGTCCTCCAAACACAGGGTCAAATGGACTAAATCTGAATTGTCTCACTACAGGAAGGCAAACTCACATCCAGAGCAGAACCTTCAGTCAACTTGTGACCTGTGCCATTACTTGATGCTTTCACTCTTTCAGGCTTTTAGTCACATACAGTGCAAGCACCGTTTAGTTTCTTAAGGAAATTTTAATCTTAACTCACATGGATTTGATATGAAGCACCTAGCTCTGGAGGTGTTTTAATAAATTGCCTGACTCTCATCACTGCAGGATTTACAAGGGTTGCTCTGAAAGTAATGCCTTCTATTTTATTATGTTGGAGCATGACACCAGAGACGGATGTTGGTGGTGTAGCAGTAGAGGTTGAACATTCTACCAATATTCCCCTACATTTTATTGCAATGTGACAAAGGGCAATGACATGTGACAGTCTGACAAAATGGTGTCTGACATGGAAGTGTAGATGAAGCAAAGCTGCGGAATTGAATTCTTTCATGTGGAAAAAATGACACCACTGACCTTCATCGGTGCTTGCTAAATGTTTATGGAGACCATACACTGGATGAGCACAGTGAGGCGGTGGGTGGTGTAAAGTTTTACAGGTGTGGCATGCAGACTCTTGTTTGTAGCTGACAAAAATACATAGCTAATGGTGGTGACAAAAATTGAAAACCAGTGTTTTGTAGCTGAGAATTTGCTATATCAAATTGTGTTATTTTGCTCTTTCCATCTGCTGTAGTTTCCAAAGAAATAAATAGGAGGCATTACTTTCAGAGCAACCTATGTATTTACAGTTTGTAGTATCCAGCTGAAGTTTTTTTTATTGCAATATCACAAACTATTTTACCTATACTAGATTCCCCAGCTAACTCAAGTCGAAAATACTCTCTCCTGGGTCAAGCATGAACTACTTTATTCCTGGTATTATCCAATTAATTTTCCATATGCCAGATAGCAAAGGTCCTAATTAAGTAAATCTCTTAGGGCCTAGTTTCTTTCTCCTGGAATTACTAGAACTTAAATATCATTAACAAGTCAAACATTAACGAAGTCAACAGTTGGCAACAGTCCAGGAAACAGGACTGCATTTCAGCTACAGAGTTTAGATAGAACTGCATATTTTTGTTCTTCTTCAGTAATCAAAGAAGAAAATTATCTGAGGAATTGTGTGGTCAGGGAGCAGGGACAATTTTTGCACAAAATAATTACAGATACTGCAGAATTATTTTGCATGTCCAGCAAAGAGATCTTTAAATAACATTCACGTTTTCGACAGACAGTGTGCAAAATCCATCATGAGGACTTTGGCAAAACAAGATAAAATTGAGCTAGTAAAAATATTTCATGGAAAAAATATGGTAGACTGAGGACGAGATTAAACTTCTCAGAAATTTAAAATAAGCTGAATGTTCTATTAAATGTTACTTGTAAATATATATATATATATATATAGTGGGATGAAGAAGAGAGAGGGGAGACAGTGAGGGAGATCATAGTGTCTTCCAAAACTTTTTTTTCTTTTTTAAACTGTTTTCCAAATTAAGTTACTGTTGAAAAACAGCTAAGGTTTAGAAGTGAAGCTTATGAGAAAATGCAGCAATAATCATGCAAGCATGGCTTTAAAAAAAGCCTTCCTTTTCCTGGGTATTAGAAGAAATCCAGCAAACCCTAAACATCAACATCCAAATCATATGCATATAACACTGAACAAAATATTTTTCCCCCTAAACTCCAAAAGGAATTTACACCTTTAAATAGTACTTGGCCAGTAATTATAGTAACTCAAAGCCTTTAAGTGGTCTGTAATACCACATCAGATGTTTTCTATACTCCTGACTATCAAGGTCATTGATTCTGCAAAGTCTTTTCCCAACTGGTATGCTGGGTTTGGGGGATATATTTATGCTTGCTTTCTTATTTCAATAGTTCATTTTGAAGCAGTGAATAAATATCTGATCGTTGACTGTGTCTAGCTTTAAGACTGTGTAGTATTAAGGTCATAATAAATTGGGATTCACCTCACTGAATATAGCTGTCTTGTGCAAGCTAGTACCAGGCTTAATGAAGAGACATAAACATCTCCAAAGGATGAGTCACTCCTTCCAGACATAAATACTGGGGACAAATGAGGTAATCTAGGAGCTATCAAGTACAGAGAGATCAACTGCTAGACAGCAGAAACAAGGAGAAATGTAAAGTCTTAGAACTGTGACAGCAGGAGAATGGCCTGAAGAACACAGGTTGTATTTAGGGTCAGCATTGTTTTCCCCTTGCTGAACTAGGAGAGGAACACACATTTCAGGCTGTGTCTCAGAGTCCCAGGCCTGGATCATAAATGACACTCTGCTGGATACTGGATACAAGACAAAGAGCTGGCCTTTTCCTCCAGCACGGTACAATCAAAACAGTCCATGTGGCCCATTTATTTACAGTGAGAAATTGTACTATATAGTGGTTTTGCAGTAGGCAATTATTTAGCTCCATCAACTACTGAAAAAGTCCCATGTTTGGCACCGTATAGAATTTCTCTTTTCCCATTATTATTTTCCAGCTATGCTTTACCCAGCTGCTCAACGGTTGAAGAGGTCCTCAGCTGCCTTCCTTAATCCAGTGCTGCAAAACTCCCTGGAAGATGTGGTTCTGCTTTATGAGGTTCAGTATATGGGAGCAAATGGTACCTCAAGTGCTAACTTAGTCTGAGGTTACTGTATATGATGGGATTATCTATTACCTGTCTTCGTGCCACTTTTACTCACCCCAGCCATAAACCCACTGACCCCGAACCCTATATACTACCTCATCAGAAAGGAGAGAACAGACATATATACACCAAACTCAGCTCTTTCAGTACTTAAGCAGGCAGCAGCTGCCTGCAGTACTTCAAGTGTTGGTTCTAGCTTACAGACAGAGACAGGGAAAATCAGAGCAAACAGCTTACCACTGAAAGTAGCTTTCTTCCAGAATAATCATATATTAACAACACAATGCATTTTAATTCTTTGGTCTGAGTCTCAGTCCCAAATTACTTGTTCAAACAATTAAAACAACCAGTTTCAATCACTGCAAAATAATTTCAAGGGCATGACTGTTATCTTCATAGATATTCAGGTCCACACTTGCCCAGCAGTGGAGACTACAATTGTACTACACAGTCTGGAACAGCATTGTATGATTAGCTAAGGGAAAGTAGCCCAACTGAGGAATGGGCATGGGCCAAATCTAGTTATCCTACACCTTCAGAAACTGTCACTGGATGTTCAAGAAAGGAAGATGGGCTGGGAAGCCACTGCTGTCTCTGTCAGAGTAGATGGTATTCCCCAGTTGTGTTGCTGCCCTCATCTCTAAATCCCATGTGATATCAGCAGCAACACATGCCTGTTTTGGACAAAAGACTACCTGCTTTTTCCTTTTCTCTCTCCTTTCTCCATAGCTGGTCTCTAGTTTCCCTAAAGATGAATAGAGGAATCCAACATTCACATATAGACTTTCTGATCTGTCCCAGCTTCAGCCAGTTGCATGTGAGGTTTTTCTTCATCTCACCTATAACAAAACCCCAAGGACATGTTGTTAATTTCTGTTAACTCTGCCTAGAGTCTCTTGCAGAAGATAAACACCTTTCTGTGTTCTGATTTTGTGACAGTTTCTTTTAGCTGAGCTTGACATTGACAAAGGTCAGAGGATCTCCATCAAAGATGAGGAGCTGGCTTCGCTGAGGAAGGCTGCTGAGTTTGACACCATCTGCAATGAGGTTATTCCCAAGAGCATCACAGAGATCCGCAGGCTGAGTAGCAGGCTGTCCTCTTACCCAAGAGTCCTCAAGAAAGAAGATTTTGAAAGGACAGTGCTGACCATGGTCTACACAGCCTACAGGGCTGCTCAGTCCCAGGGACACCAGAAGGACACTTGGGCAGAATCCTTTGTCAATCTTTACAAAGCGCTGAAGCACGACTTGATGTTTCCATACAACAAGGAGACATCATAGAAGGAGACTCGAAACAGCAGCTACTCAGACACTTCTTCTGGTTGATAAGGGACACACTTAGCACGTCCACCCCTTCATTCTATGAAAGGTTTAACAGCCTGCTTTATGAGAGATTATTTGTTTTCTAGCTCCCTCTTGTGGAATTCACTTTATAGATACATGTTAAATGGGGAAAAAACTTGTCTTCAATCTCCCCAGTTTTTGTTTGTTTGTTTGTTTGTTTTGTTGTTCTTTTTTGTGTTGGCTTTGAGGCATTTTCTGTAAAAGGAAAATAAGGAAGCCTGGTGTATATCCCAGACAGATATGCCCTTATTTCATCTGTGTGTTTCTTATAAACAATGTGCACATGTGCTGGAGAATGCTGCTTTCCTCGCTGAGGAAATAACTTCATATTTCAGCTGCTCAGTAAAAGAATACTAAAAAGAGATGCAAAAGCCCTCTGTAAAAGGAAGAGGTTTCATAACTGTCAGCCTTCAGAAATTATGGAAAATATATGCATTCCAAATATTCCTGTAAACAAGCACTGTCTGATTCACTTCATTTGGCTGAGCCAGTTTTTAATCACAATAACATTCGCAGAAGACAAAGGGCATTGTGAATACCAGCAGCAAACAATGCCTGTGAACATATTCCCCAGTCCCCAGAACCACCCTCCCAAACAGTCTGCAACGTCTTTCATTATTTGCACATGACTTTGCTTCTGCTCCTTTATTTTTGAGTTGAACGTGGATTTATCCTCTGTGGAGTAAAAGGCAAAACAAAAGCTCTATTTAATTTAATGATGACAATTTATTTTCTGATTCTATCACTTGAACTTAGATCATCTAAACCAGCGCATCAGAATCCCTCTGAGGCAGGGGAAGAAGGTGGATTAAAACATACATGGTGCTGAATTAATCAGTGTGGCTCATTTCTGATTGTAAATTATGCTTTTCACCTGCATATATGTGTGTGTGTTTGTGTGAGTGCATGTGAGTGCATGGAAGAATCCTATATTATTCACTCAGGAAATAATTACATCCAAGCATCTGGAAGGAAAGGTTTTTCTTCAGTCTGGTGGTGGGAATAGTAAAAGTGGGAGCAGAGGTAAAGCAGTACTTGTTCATAGCAAAGCCTGTAGAAGTAGTGCAACAGATTATTATAAACTATTAAAGAAAAATTGTGAAGGATGTGGCTTTAATAGACAGAGAAAGGAGCTACATCTGGTGACACAAATGGCAAGCAATGAAAGATCCAAACTCTTCAGACTTTGTCCACAGGTTATATAGATGCTGTTTCTCTATTGGTGTTTGAGTTGTATATGCTTCCACAGTGTAAGAAGGAGATGAGCATATCTCATCCTTTTATACCAGCACTCTGTCTATTTACATAATTTCTTAAGGAGATGGGTTCAAATAAAAAAAAAAGCTGAGGCTGTAAAGGATGGCTGAGGATACCAAACCAGTTTCTGAGGCATGTTTAATTGCTTCTGCATCACAGCTATGATGTGCTTCCACACATGAGGTGGGGCACTGTGGGTGCCCCATCCCTGGAGGTTTTCAAGCCAGGCTGGATGGGGCCCTGGGTGGCCTAATCTAGTGGAAAGTGTCCCTGACCACAGCAGGGGTGTTGGAACTGTATGGGCTTTAAGGTCCCTCTCAACCCAAACCTTCTGTGATTCTATGATTCTATAATCTGAGAAAATGGAACAATAAGATCTGCATCTCTTAACAGGAATACTCCAAGGCCTGGAGAAGAAAAAGCCCATCCAAAGCCATCTAGTTGCAGGAAAAAGAAACACTGCGATCAGTCAAAGCACACTGGGTTTGGCAATTGCTTGTGGGAATGGGGGCTCAAAGCAGCCTTAGGGGCAGGTTGGAAATGGCAAGAACATCTGGACAAAGGGCACATGAAAGTCAGAATCATTCTTTTTTCTCCTTAGCTGTTTCACTATGAGCATGCATGAGTATACACAGTTGCAGGTATATACACATGTGTAGTTTCACTTTTGCACCTGAAGGCTTTTGTTGGTCATTTTTGACATCTGACAGGCATACATCAAAGGAAGCTGAAAATCTTAGCTACAAAGCTATGAGCCACAGATACCTCCATCTTCAGTACTTGCATACACGGATCAGTGCCCTCAAGAAGCCTTGCACTACAGCTCACATACCTTTCAAAGCCTCCAGCATAAACATTCTTGATGTTTGTGCTTTCTTCCCTCTTCTTGCTTTAGAAAGAGAGGGAGCATATTTCTGCCTTTACAGCTTGGCCGCTTCTTGGCTCCCTAAAGCACCATCTGCTTGTAGAGCCACGAACAGGGGCCATTCATAAATACTTTACAGACAGTGACTCAAAATCTGCAAAGATAACAGGAAAGAGCATCTCAGAAAATCTTAATTACTGGCAGTCATCCTCCAGAGAAATATTTCCCGGCCACCCCACAACAGAACTGTCTGGCAGACAGGCCAGGCAGTATCACAGTTCCTTCAGAAAGGAATTGCTGATAGTTTTGAATACAAAGTCATTCCCAATAGCATACATACTTTACAGGTTGGTAGTTGAAACCTTTATCTCTGCAGCATAAAATAAAGTCTTTCTGAATTTGTTTCACGCCTTTCTTTACTGCAGGAAAAGAAATTTATTTCTCAGGAATGTGCTTGGACTGCCCAATTTATTTAAGAGAAAACAATTACTGTAATAATAAAATATTCTACATGAAATTAATTGTATTTCCATTGTATTGATTTCAGCAATTTTGCTACTAAGAGACTGGCAGCAAGAAAAACTGGTTATCTCAATCTATAAACTCAGTGGGATCAGTGGTACAGGAGAGAAGGGGGCATAAAACATTCCCTTTAATGGTTGAGAGGAGGAAATAAATTGGGAGCAAGACTGTCTTTTTTATCCAAAGTTTGAATGGGAAGGAGCACTGTCTCTGGGCAGCATTCTTGGTTTAGGGCAGCTTCCCTCCCTCAGTACTGCATTTCCTGCCTCAGGTGCAGGGAGCCTGTTCCTAAAAGAGAGGGAGAAGCTCTTCTATCTATCCTTAGCTCCACTTGCCTTTCATTTCTTCAGAATGAGTCATGTTTATAGACGGACCCTCTCCCGTGGGGCAGAGTCATTTCACTGCCTCTTTTTAAAGAAGAGTCTTTTGTTCACCCTTTGACCTTGCAGATCATGAAGAAGTGAAATAAAACATAGTTTTGTTCATCTTAAAGAAAACTGTATATTTTTTTTCTTTTTTACTCTGGAGTATTTTTGACATCCTTTAAGGGGGGGTGTTTTCTTTGTGTTTTTGTTTTGTTTTGTTTTGGTTTTTTTTGCTTTGAAGCAACTGCTGAAACATATAAATTCCCTGGCTGTTTTATTGGCAATTTTGACATTGATCAGATTTTTGCTTTCAGATTTAATTGCTAAACTTACCTGAAGGCTCTCAAGATACTGATGCCTGATGGCAGTTTCAAGGCATAGAAATACTACACAGTCCTGGATAAAGTCATGAATTTCAGGAAAAAAAAGTGTTACACATTAGACTCATCAGATGAGGCAAAGTCTTCTCAGACAAAGGTCTGCCTTTCCTAGCTCTCCAGGATCAGTGTCACAGAGACACGCCAGCTCAGTCAGGGGAACCCAGTAGGGTTTGAGGAAATGTTGAGCAAGAGGGATAGATTTGTAAGCATGGAAAACATTAGGTGTACAGCATCCTGTGAGGTATAGGGTAAATGGGTGACTACAGGGGTCAATAGATTAACTCTTCCGATTTCTTTCTGTTCCATGAGACCATTAGTCACAGAAGAACTGTAGAAATGCTCCTCCAATTGAAGATCAGAGTAGATAGACTAAAAATTCTGAATTTGAGTCTGCATCTTACTGTCACTAATGGCACACATCAGTGCAGAGATTAGCCCATGCCTTATGAATAAACGGCATTCATGGGTCAAAATGGAAGAAACATGAAAGACGAAAGATACTCTTTATAAAAAATATGTATTCATCAGCACGGGGACACTGAAACAATAACAAACTGTCAGTTGGAAAAAGATCATCTTGTACAGAAGAAAGAGAAGGTGGCTGATTTTCTCAAATGTTCTGACTGGGTTTTAGATAATGAGCCAAGCAAATACAGCCTCCTGCAGTCCTTATTGGTGAGTTGGGAAAAAAAAAAAAAAAAAAGGTTTTAAGGTTTTTTTGGGGTTGTGGCTTTTTTTTTCTTTGTTTTTTTTTCTTGAGACTGAGTATAATCTGTATTGGAATTACTGCCCTGTGAATTCCGAGCTCAGGGCAAAAGTAGGCGAAAGGTAGATTCAGAGGGGAAGCCAAAACTACAAAGAGACAAAAATCTAAACAGAATGGAATATAAGGAACTGTAGTTGGTTTATTTTCTATTTTTTATTTTTTTAAGAAAGAATTCCTACAAGTTTATTTCTGTGCAGTGAACAATAAATAATTTTCCAGCAAAAAAGAAACCTATATCTGAGAAATTCAGACTAGCTAACAGGGGAAAAAAAAGCAGCACACCAGAAGATATCCCTTCCAGCTTACGAAAACAGAAATTACTTTGCTGAAAATCAGATGATGGAAGAAAAGAGCCGTTCAAAATATGGGGATAAGGATGGAACACAGTCGTAACTGTGACTCTGAATTAAAAAGAGAAAATGTCAAATGATCATTATGATCCAACTTTCAAACATCGTGTTATGGTGTGAAAGTCATTTGGATGTGCTGGTGAGCCCTACAAAAACTGAATGCCTTTTTAACAGAAAAATCATTAGGGCTTCTCTTCAAAACAGCAGACTGAAGAATAAGCAAATTAAGGAAGCTATCTGAGGTGGCTGTGTGAAAATAGGAAACAAGACAGAAAGAGCCCTTTCTGCAAAATCCAGGCAAAGGCAAAGGAGAACGTGGAGTGGAAACTGGACAATCTGAAGAAATCCAAAGAAAAGAAAATCACCAGAAAGTAAAGGGTATGGCAATGGTGAAGGAGATTCTCCGATCCAGAAACATCTTGCTCGTTGTTCTCATTCCACTTCTGCTGCTTCCTCTGCCACTTTTGTACCCCTGCAGCGTAAGTACATTTTCTTTTTTTTACAGAGCCTCTGAGTACAGTAGGTGCTCTAGCTGGATAAGCCTACAGTGAACAAAAAGAGAGGCAAGGATCTAAAAAAAAAAGTGTTTCTCTCAGAA